TAAGGTTATTTTTAACTCAGAAATTATTCTCTTTACAGTTGTTGTTTATTTGCTATATCGGTAAGCTAAAAATTACCTTCATCTTATTTTTTTTGAACTTTAATCCAAATTTAGCAAAACAAAAAGCAGATATTTTCTAAAATTCGATAATTGTGTAAATCAGATCTGATATTAGCAGAACTTTTTAGTATTTTAGATGATTAATCTTCACTGTAAATTAATTTAGAAAGTTTATAATCAGAGCAAAAACTTCATGATTTAGATAATCACAGCAAGCAAATTTGCGTCTCACTCAAGTAGTTAAGAACTTACTTGCTTTCCACTCCATTAACAAGTTCTTTTAAATGCCTCAGAAAACCACTGAAAAGAATATAAAATCTCCTCGTAATGATTTATAATTTCTCACAATTGCGTGCCTATTACGTACCATCTATTTAAAATCTGGTGAGAAAAATCTATTAAAATAAAAAATTTTAAATATTTTATCATTTGCGTAGTTTAAAAAAACCAGCTGCACGCTTGTCATATATTAAAAATATCATTACAAATAATCAGAGCACTAATTTTTGAGTCCAGAAAACCCTGAAAATTTTTGAACGAATTAATTGATTATTCTTAGGATCACGCACCAAAACATATCTTGCATTAAGTAATGATGGCATGGTATTTGCTGTGCGCAAAAAGCGCAGACAGGATTCAAGCACAGTAGCTTACGAACGAGATGAAAATTCTCAATTTGAATTAGCAATGGATACAAAGCTTGAAATGAACATGGTAATTTCAAAATTTCTCTATTTATCAATCATATCTGCACTTTGAAATTTTGATCATAAAAAATTGTGAATCCAGGATGAAGAATATAATCAACTGATTGGTCATCATCCAAACATCGTGAATATCATTGGTTTTCGTCGTGTGGGCTTGTGCTGGGAACAGTTCGTAGAATACATTGATGGCGAAAATTTCTACAATTACATGGATGCATTATATTTTAAAAGTATGAATTATTTGTGCTCATTTTGTATAGTCCTTGATCTTTTAATTTTAATGGGAAAATCAGTATTCAAAATTTGGTACATATACCAGCTAGCGGTATCCAATTTTAATATTTTTTACAGCGAATCGCTTAATTGAAGGAGATAAAGCTCGTTCATTTTTCACAAATTTGATGAATGCTGTGGAGCATATTCATAGTTTGAAATTAGCACACATGGATATAAAGCTGGAACATTGTCTAATTACCAGAAATGGTAGCAATACTTTTCTCTTAAGTCATTTTTTAGCTTCCAAAAGTTTCTAAATGATTTAAGTTTTTATGTATTGAGTCATCTAAACAAATTATTTCTTTGAATAGTTAGCAAGCGAAAGAAATTTCTAATTTTACTTTTTCTAAAAAATTTTTACACTTTTGTTTGTCAGGAATTCTGAAACTGTCTAATTTCGCGGAAGCACGAATTTTTGTGCCTAACCTTAAATTCGCTTTTCCTGAATATTTCACCAAAGCTTATGCTGCTCCTGAAACACTGAAAAAAAAATACAGGTATTCTTTTTTTAAACAAAGATGAATTACCTTCTTTTAAATAGAGGAGAAGCTTGATTTATCTGAGAAGTTCAAATTTACAAATATATTCGTTGCTTTTCGCAAAACGGATAATTATTGTCATAAGATTAATAAAATAAGATTATTATTGTTATTTATATTGTTATCGTTATTGTTTTTATTTCCAAAAAATAAGAATCAATAATAAAATCATAATAATAATTAAGAATAATCAGTAATAATAATTAAAAATAGTAATCGATAGTAATAAAAGACAAGTAACGGCAGCAACTATTAAGGCCAGACGTCGCAGATATTTGGGCCTGTGGAATATTTCTGTACGTCATGTTGAAGAAATGTTTTCCGTGGGATATTGCGAGAAAGTTAGTTACTTCTGATTTCATACTTGAGATTGTTGCAAATGCGAGATTTGATAATTAGTTGAAAAAACTTAAAAATTAAATTAACCTCTTGATACTTATTTTTCAGGAACGAAGATAGAAATTATCGTAGATGGGTTAAAAACGACGATAAGATCGCATTTTTGAGCATACCGGGTTGCTATGGATGTGTTTCAGGTAGGTTTTTATTGAATAAAAAACTCATTTTTTTAACCAAGGTTGTTGGTGCTGTACTGACTAGATAGAAATAACCATTTTTTATTCTAAATTTTTGAGGCGAAGTCATTCTTTAAAATAATCACAAAAAAACGTTCGGACAGACTGAAGAAGACAGCCTTTAATGTGACTGAGCACAGTATGGAGAGCAATTATATTTACTTACAGATCTTTTGGTTAACATGCTCCAAGTTAAGCCAAGCGAACGTGCTACGGCAACTTACATAAAGAATCACCGATGGTTCTCTGAACAGTCTTAAAGTATTCAGAAGAAAGTTTTTTTGAAATATAAGACTGTTTAAAAATTATTAAGTAATTTTGAATAAGTACTGTAAATTATACAGTATATGCTTGCTCTTATTCAGTAAGTACAAACTAAAGTACTTCAAGCCTGTTTAATTTTTTTGCTTCCAGAATTTATCTATTCGAAATATTAAATATTTATTTTGAATTCCAAAAATCTAATTTGGTCAGATTTGACATTCTATTGGAATTAAAACAAATAATCAATTATTGTGATTGATTATTTCTTGTACATTATTTTTTACTCTTTCAAACTGCTTTTAAATCCTAAAGTTTGCACTTTGTAATTATTAGTTATTTGATTTTTTTGTTTATTCTTCCAGTCGTTTTATAATTTCCGAAAAAATAAGCAGAAACATAAACTTATTCGAATAATCAATTATTTTTATTTATGTCCAGAAATAAGTTCATAAATACAAAGAAAATCTGTTGAAACAGACAGTTAAATCATATGATTTGAAAGTTGGCTCACGATCACTAGATAGTTGCACTACTGCTTGACTTAGATGTTATAGTTCCTCATCAATGTCTACATTGATGACTTAGAGCATTAAATCAGAGATTTGAAATGCTGAAGTCCTTGATTATTTATAAGAATTAAGTATAATTTTGAAGTATGCCTCGTACAATATATTTGGTCATTTAACGATCAGGTTCATAAAAGTTTCTCTATAATCAATATACTTGCTGCCATCAGTTCTCATGAAGAAGTCCAAACCTTATTCGGTCTTCCATTATTTGTAATTTTCATTTGTTCTCTTAAGTTTTGTACCTTACACAGCGATTGTAGCTTCGAATAGCTACGGTAGTGCTAGTGAAAATCAAGTTTTTCAACGATAGTACTTACCTTCATTCCATACCTCTAACATCATCACTTTAGTACCTCATACTACTAGGATTTTTGAGGTGTTATTTAGAGTAGTCAAGTAATGAAGATAGTTTCATTTGCTCTAAAAATACATTTTATATTTTTTTATGTTCTCATATGCGTTGTTAGCTTTTAATTTTATTCCTATTAATAATATAAAATATTCAGGAATAATTAACAAAACCTCATTTGCCTGACATTGAGCGCTGTGTAAACATAACTTATCTTTCTGATTGTTTGTTTTTTTTAGTTTTTGCTTCTTATATTGTAGAAGCAAACAACAGTGTTAATTTAATGCACAGAAAATTGTTCTGCATTATGATTTTCTGATCATAATAATTACTCAGAAAGGCTTGAGTAATTATTTCAGCGTGTGCATTTGCATCTTGTTGGAAACTATTTTTCGTTGATAAAGTTGGTGTTTTTCACATTTCACTATCTTGTCATTAACTTTGTTATTCATCACTTTTTTCCATTTTTTGTTCTTGAAGCTTACTAGTATGAATAATGAACGGTGTAAAAATTTCAGAGATTTCTGTGACTATTAAAAAGCTTACAATATTTCTTTCTAAATGCAGTTACAAATGTTTGCCTTGGCTTATTATGATAAGATAAAGATTGATTTTTCCTTTTTAGTGTCGTCAAAAAGCAATATAGAACATCACTGCAACGTAAACTTCATTGTACATCTACTGTACTGTAATATAGGAGATAATATGAGCAGATCATATATGTAGGAAACTTATCTCAGATCGCTTTTTATCACAAATTGCATTAATAGATTACCAGTTGTTCGATAAATCATATAAAATTCGTCGTAAAAACCGAGAATTGATTTCTAAATTGTATATACTCCTACGACTTACTGACTTGTGGTTTCTGTGATGTAAAAGTTCGTGTACTATAAATTCTCTTCTCTTTACACCCCTTTGTTCATAATAATTTCATTTGAGGTTTAAAAATTGAGTGTTATAATTATATACCGCAATATTTACAAAAAGTTTCGAATGACGAAGCTTGTTAAAGTGTGTCAGCTAACAAACAGTTCGACGAATAATGAATGAATAGACGGTACAGTTTTGTTTTTGGCACATCACAGATTGCTATATCCCTTATTCAACCTCCACACAATTCACCAAACGAATGCAATACTGTGTGATGTTGCATTAATCTGATGCTTCGGCTTTGAAACGTGTGAAAAAACATAAACTGAAAAGTTGGACGACTTTATTTTGAAATCAGTAAGAATTGCGATTTACAGTAACAACCTGTAGAGATATATTAGAACTTCGAGCTCATTTTCAGAAGCGCTTGTTTTTTGCTGTAACACAAGACCTTATTCTGCAGTGACATTCACGTAAACTAGAAGATGAAAAGCAAACTGTAACGAGTGCAGTTCTTGCAATTCCCACTAGCCATATAATAACTTCTTCATTTTTGCTATTAAATTCTTAATCCTTTAGACATTCTTCTGATTACTATCCCAAATCTACGATGATTTCATACTAAAAAATGAATGATATAAACCAAAGTGAAGGAGATAAAAGTTAGAGCAAGCACAGATGGGACCAATAATTCCATATGAGGTGAATGGTAAACAAAATGTGCATAGATCAAGGTTCTCGTAGAAGGCACGGAAGAAGATGCTTTGTCATGTCGCAGTGACACTGAATGCACACTTGTATGAAGGAGATACAATCTAACAGCTCCTAGTCTTTACAAAAGCAGTTCATTCCTCGTAAATCATTTGAGAAAGGTTCAAGTAGATACTTGCACACTGCTTCTGATAGCATCCATTTGTCAAGAACAGAAAATAAAAAAGTAAAAATCACAAATCCTGAATTGAAAAAATTGTTTTATTCTTACTATTTTATGATTTACAAATTCTTTGCTTTCGACTTTTCTTATCTACTAAGAAAGAAACAAATCATAAAGAAAGTGATATTGCAAGGACCTGGTATTTTATTTCTCAAAATACTCTAGTTAGTTAATTTTTCTTTTCACTATCAAATAACAATGTTTTTTTTATCTTTTTGCTGCTGGCAGTCCTGTTATTCCTGTTTTTTTACGCGTGAAATTCAACATATTCTGCTGTGCCATAAAATTCAAAAAAATTTCATACTTTGAAAACCGATTCGAAAACGAGCTTTTGTAATACAATGAAGTTACGGTATTATCACTGAATATGTAGGTGTGAGGGAAATATAAATTAGCGTTAGAAAGAAGCATAAATGTTTACACTTAACAATTATGTACAGAAGAGACAATATAACAATGGTAGCAGGAAAATACGGAACCACCACGTGATCAAAAAAAGAAAGTGTTGAATGAGATGAAAGAACACAAAAACACAATAAAATTTCACATGAAAATATGTTAGATAAGTTGAATGGTTGCCTCTTTCATTTTTCTGCTCCATCTTAATTTCTATTTATTTTTATTTACTCGTTATTCTTTTCATTTTCTCTGCTTTTTTTCATTACTTCATTTTTTTATTACCAGTTCTTTAGTTTATCCAAAAATTTTCTCGTCTTATTCAATATTTCTATCAGAATTTCGAGACAGAAACTGGTTCCATCTACTTGAATCTCAAAATTTTTTCTGTTGCAAAGTGTTAAACAATATTGCTGTTTTTATTTCGATAGGGTAGTGGTGGGGCCAAATTTCAGTTTTTTTTACTGTGACCTTTATTTTGATGGGGTAGTGATGAGGTCGAAATACTATTGTAATTTAGCTTTGCTATTTTCGTTTCTGTTGCTATATTATAAAAATATCATCAGAACAGCCGCTGATATGATTTCCGAAGCAATAGCTCTATGCTGTTTTCAGCGTTATGGTTGGTATGTTTTGAATACATAATGTTTAATTAGTTTTAATGATCGTTACATTACATATGATGATAATAACAGATTATCACTGTAGTCATAACTTGAAGTTTGATAAAATATTAAAGATCTAATTTTAGATAAAATCCGAGCTTACTGCTCGGTAGCCGGACTGACTGGGAGTTAGCCCAGTCCTACGGGAGGGGGCAACCTTATTCGATGCCCTCTCAGAGATGTTTAGGCTTAGATCGGACGACTACCACAGAAATATTGAGGGACTGCTGGGAGCCCCTTAGGCATTACGATACGCCGGGGCGTGGCCAAGAATTTTACAGTGAGTTCTTCACTCTTTACCTTTATTTTTAATTAGTTCGAATTTATCTTTTCTCACTGCGATAATTTATCCACTTCTCTGTTCCATTGCAGACAAAACCGTCCGGATCTGGCCCACATTGCCTATTACACTTCGAGGAAGCATGTCGTGCAGCATCCATACGTGTCATTCAACACAACGCAGAATGCTGTACTCGTTCAGTATTCGGATCAAAGACAGCTTCTGTCTTTGTTGCACTCAATTTCGAGGCACAGAATCCTGAAAATTATTCAGGATTGGAAAAAGAATTGCGACAGCCGACAGCAGATCCATACATTGTGCGAGATGGAGTAATTCGTAAGTTTATCAGATTTACTTTTAATTTTCATACCAAATAATTAGGATTTTCGTAAGGTGACTGTAACAGTTTGATTTAACAGTTGCTTTTATTTTCAGACTGCAATCTCGCCAGATGCCTGTTGATGCGAACACAATCTTTTGCATCGATTCGGGCGTAGAAACTTCATGAAGACAGCTGCGCACGCATTGGTTGGTAAGGATTTTTGCTTCCTTCTTCTTTACTTTTATCAATAAATTAATCATTTAATCATTTGCTCAATGCGTAACTACACTCTTAGGTTATTGTCATCGATGTCGTCTGCACATTGATGTCCCACCGAGCTGTTAGCAAAGGTATTTTTTTAATTCAAATAATTGCAAAATTTTTAAGATCAGTAATTGCATTGAAGTTTTTTAAATATCATTTCTTTGCAGGAATTAATAAAAACACATGTCGAGCGTTGTCCTTATGGGGATAAGCACGTCCTGCGAGAAAGCTGATCGATATAGGCATCTCAGGACACCTGGTATGGATACTTCACAACTGTATTCTCCTCAAGGTACTTAGCATTCAGATTTTTTTTGCGCTAATTTATGATTGGAAGATGTATGTAAAAAATCATTCATTGTTGTTTTTTCAAGGGTTTATAAATTTTGTCTCTGAATATTATTTTTTTTCGACGATTCTATACTTTCTAGGATTTATGATAGATCAAAAAGTGCAGATCAAAAGGCGCAAACGTCGCCGATGTTGAGAAGGATTTTGCAGCGGATTGCAGTAATCTCGAATGATGAATGGTGTAGAAGCAAAAAGCAAAAAGGATCGCATCTAGGAATTGATTTCAAGCGGTTAAAAGTTTCATTTTATTTTGTCTAGTTTTCGTTGTTTACCATAGTTTGTACATTTTTGCATTGATTGTATGATTCCTCGTGTGTGTAAGATGTTTTTTAAATCTTTTGTATTGGTCTATTCTTTATTATATTTTATTTATTGCAATCATCAGTTTGTATTACTAATTTTCATTGTTGTACAAGGTCTTTCTGTTGTACATTCATTGTTGTACAAGTCTTTCTGACTTCTCCTTTTTCTTAATTTCTAATTTCCTCTTGTTTTTGATAAAAGCTCTGTTAATAATTTAAAAGTTTTTAGGATCTCCAGCGAACTTTTTTCAGCAAGAGGTCACCTCCGAGTAATAGCTATAATTTTGACGTAAATGTTTATTGATATTTTTCTGTGAAGATTGAAATTATTGCGTTTTTAAGGAAAATAACGACTTAGGGCATCAAAGCTAGAATTAGGTTAGAAATGTCATGAACTGAGTACCAGATGGAATGAAATTTAGGCAACAAGAAAATTAAGAATTCTAGCTTAATGCCAACTTTTGAAATTGATAGGTTTGGTTTTTGTATTACTATTAGGTAAGATAACTGTAAAGTAGGGAGTAGTAGGTCAGAGACAGGCTAGATTTTTTACGTATCATAA